ATGATTTCATACATGGTTAAAGTAATAATTTACTTATTCGTCAGTCTAGACCTTCTTTTACTGAAAAATCTGCATGAAGTAGATTCCCGTTAATCCACACTGGAGGCCAGTTGTTGCTCTTAATGATTCATGAAAAATAGTAAAACTTGCGGCTAGCTCAGTGGATATTATTAAAGGACAAGTTTGTTTGCCAGGAAGTCACATTGAAATCCCAAATTCTCTTTAAAAAGAGAGAGCTGACCAATAAGCAGCCACACAGAATCACAAACACAAACAACAGATTAAATCAAGTATTTAGTGGCCTTTCAAATACACAACCACATGCTTTTTTACTGTTCTTTATAACACTCCTAAATCTTTTCAGTGATATTAATGTGTCTAATTTGAACTGTTTTGCAGATTTCTCCATGCCAGAGGTGCATTACTGGAAAAGGCAGTTCGGTCAGAACTCAGGGTACAGTGAAGAGCAACAAATTAGAAGATTACGCCTGATACCCATTAGAGATGAAAGACAGAGAGGGGTGCAAAGGTAAGATGGACGTTTTCCCAGTATGACTTTATGAATAAAAATATACAGTGTCGCTGCCTGGGGATTGCTAATGATGTCCAACCCACCAAATCGCAAGGGAGGCAATCAAGAGTGAGTGATTTTGAATTTGTGATACAGAAAGGAGACGCATGATACACCGAATCAAAGCTCTGCAAGGTGGATGTATACACATACAATGTAGTCCCTATAATCAATCACACAGACAAATGTAGCTTCTACTGTACAAACAAAATAGAAGCCGCAATTGTAGTCATGATTTAAAAGCACAAAAAACATATATAACAAAATTCTTAAGACGCTGCCTTGTGAGATTTTTATCAAACACTAGGTATAGCTCATAAATGTGTATGATTAATTAATTATATTACTCAATTCAACTACGTCACAAACGTTTTGGCTTCTCTCTGTGGTCAGAACTGCAATTCTGGAGGAGACAACCAAACACCTCACTTTTAACTTACTGTCTGAATGTTTTTTAGATTTATGAACTCACCAAAAACACGAAGGATCCCATCTTTTTTTTTTTTTTTTTTCAAGACAAGAGACACCCATTTAGTGTCCTTGGCATTAGCTATATGGCATTGGCAGCATAACCAAGCCATTAAAAACTTGAAAGATATGAGGAAATATTGAGCTGCAGTGTGTTGGCTATCCTTTCAGCAACTGCAAATTCATCATCAAATGTATTTTTCAGGCTGGAGAACATTTGATTGGCATTGACATATTTCATAAAGCTTATAAAAATGCTAAATTTTCTCATGTTTAGCTCCCATTTGTCCATAAAAGAAGATACTTTGGTAATAGTCGGCATCCTTGTTTCTTAGACACGTCTTTTTGATCAAAACAAGTCACTGTACAACACAATAAATAAATCCAATCGCACTCTTAAAAGCTGATTAGACCCACCGCTTCTACTCTAAGGTGTAAATCCCATTTTCACAGCTAAGCCCTGTTTTATTCTCTCTTGTAATTCTATCAAAACATACCACCTCCAAACCAGATAGACCCCACAGCAGGCCAACATCTGTAATGACAAGCTGGGTCAAGCCTCAGCTCTGCCTGAAAGGTTTGAACTCTGACCTCCCACACATTATGACTCTGGGGTGGCTTATCATTGAGCTAAGAAGCTGATATTTCCCACCCTGGACAAAGACGACAAAAAACACAACGCTAACCAGTTGGGTCCCCAGACGGTGCGTCAGAGCTGAGCGGCAGCATACCCCCTCCAAATAAATGGATGGACAGTTGTTGGCCTTTATTGTCAGAGCATGAAACCAGGGACACATGTTGGGTGGTAAAAGTGTCAAGGCCTGACTGAAGGGCCATTGTATCGGTCTCCAGTAGTAGCAGTGGGGCTTTGTTTCCTGTGTTGTTCATCATTAGCATATCAATATTCAAAGGGGCTGATGCTGGGCAGAGGTGGCAGCCTTTTTAGCTTGGAGTACACCCTTGTGCACGAAGAATGAGACCTGCATTTGAGTCTGAAGGGCCAGCTGTTGAGTTAAGCTTAAAGTGAAAAGATAAACAATGAACGAAACTGCATCTAAAAGGAGATTTTTCAATCTTATCTTTTTCTTTTACCACCTAAAGATTGTTCTGATATTCCTTCGGTGTAGATGAAACCCTGGCATCTACTTCTTCTTGGTCAAAAACAAAGAGCTAAACGGTGTCACCCATCCCACCCCTCACACCGCCCCCTCCCGGCTTTTACCCCCCTCCCCTTCCTCCACTCAGGCCAGCTGACCCCAAGACTGGAAGGCCGGGGGACAGTTAGCCCTTGTGTGTTATTGTGTGTGCGAGGGGCAAAGCCAGCAGAGAGTGTCGGTTACTCCGAGGGCCAAGCAGAAAAGCGGTTGGGCAGTTTAGCCAGCTGCTGGGGGAGCGAGCGGCGGCCGGCCTGGTCAGTGAAACCTTGCCAGATGGAGCCATTTCAAAACAATGAGAGCTGCTCGCCATGGTTGGAAACTAGGGACACAGAGGGTGGGCCTATATGTAGCTACAGTAAATGGCCGCTGGTGAGGTTGGAGAGATGTCAAAATATTGCCTGGGTCAGCAACTCGTTCCAGCAGTTGGTTTTCTTTGAGTTAACCAGCTGTAGTCGAAAAACGTCATCGTTTTCTGTCACCCTCTTTCAAATTTAAACGCCACTTTTTAAAAACTTCTTGAAGTATCTGTTTTGAAAGTCCAATAACACATTCAAACGTCATCCTTTTACTTAACTCTCGAACTCTCTCCCCTCCTAACACACACTCGCTCTCTTCCTCTTTCCCTCCAGACAGCAACAGGCCGAGGTGTCCAGGGACTACTCCACTGAGGAGTAACCAAGCCTGGGTAATGAGGCGTGTGATTGGTCCCCTCCCTCCTGAACAAGGCCAGTCTTTTGGAGGACATGATTGATCATGACAGGAGCACAATGGCAGCCTGGTGTCAGAGGGGTGGTATGGGTGCGCATGGACCCCCCGCGGCCACACTCACTCGCCCAACTCAGCTGTTCCAACATGCGTGTACGTGTATGCATGTGGTATGACACATACAAACAAAGCTGAGGCACGCAGCAATATGTGCGTGTAAAAACACTGACAGCTAGTGCGAATACATTTCAGATATTCTGATCTGTCCTGAAAAATCTGATTTGAGAGAAAGGCAAAATTAAGCAAGAATACATTATTTTCTACATTTAATTTTGCTAATTTAAATGAGATTTTTCTTCCTTTAAAAGAGGATTAATGACATGTTTGCAAATTCATCAACTTCTGCACAAAACTGTAAATACAACCTCAAAGGAAAGTATTTTTGATATGTTGTGCAGAGCCATAGACAGAATTTTTATGCAAACAAATTTTAAAATTAAGGTTTCAAAATAAAACATTTGTTAGGGGGGGGAAATCTGATGTCAAAGGTTTATCTTTAAGTCTGTTTTAGTGTAAAAATGCAAATCAATTCCTGTTATATATAAAACCACAAAAGATCCAGCGAAAAATTATATACATAAAACAATCAGTTTCTCTTTTGAGGTGAAGGGCCTTCGTTTCATATCCAGTATGCTGTTTGTTCTTTTGTAGTGATCTTCAAGTGTCGGGGGCTCTTCTTATCCCCGATGCACTCGAGAGCCTGTTGAACCTGCTCGTGTTCAGGGTTAAAAATCAAGTTCCAAATGAGCAAAAGGTGGGGCGTTTATGCAGAAGGACCATTAGAGGCTAAGTGCAAGCTGCTTTCTCAAGGGGGGGACCCAGGTGTGTTGACACTTTAGCAATTTTCTGTGATGATACTCGACATTATATTTCAAAAGAGACAAACAAAACAGAATAAAAGCAGCGAGATGTTTTCCTATTATAACATGCATGCAAGAAAACTTATTCCCCCTTGTTAATGTCATATTAATAGAAGAAGTGCTATAGTGCAAGTTTTATAGTGATACAGGAATCAGGAGTCCGTGATGTGGAAAAGAAAGCAGGCCTGTTGTTGTGCTTGTCGTCTAAGCCCCTTTGATGCTGCATTAGCTTAGGGTTACTGTGTACAGCTTCTTCCAGATTTACCAACAGTTCTCCTCTAATCTGCACAAAGATCCGCACTGACCAGAGATTACAGCCGCCTAAAACACAAAAACCTGCATCTCAATCATAAAAACAATCCCTGTATATGCTGTTCCTTACAACTCAAATTTAGCCTAAATGCAGTAACATTACAAATACAGAGGGAGTGGAATTTAGATCAGTGAGGGATGATGGGATAAGACAGAGATGAGGGTTGATTTCTTCTCAACTTTGGGAGGCTAATTGCCCTGAGTGGACTAATGAACAGCATAGGTCTAATTGGCTTACACCACTTGTGGGCTGGCGTGCTGGGCGAGTAAAATTGAATCAAAGCTGTAGGACTCCGTCAGAGTAGTTGTGTGCTGCTGTTGGTGGTAATTGGCACAGGCTCAAAGGAATGAGGCATGGCACTCGGCCAAATAACAGAGCAGCTCGGCGCAGGCGCATAGAAATTTTACAGGAAAGCATAAATTAGCGAAGGAAAGACGGAAGCAACACTTTAAATTTAGTCTTTAAATTATAGTTATTTTTATTTTTCACGTGTATTTCTCCATAAGGGAAGATAGACACGTTCCTAATGAAAAATTTTGCTCTTTGCACTTATTTCTGCTTAATTAAATGTCTTTAAATGTACACATACTTTTACTCTTGGCTATTGTGTGCGCCATTGAAGCCAACATAACGGTATGTAGCCTATACGCACCGACCACTTGCTGTATGATTAATGCGCTGCGGACTATTTTTTAACCAAACAAAAGAGAGACGCAGCGATGGAAACGCACGACAACAATGTCCCGAGCAATGCCAAATTGCTCTATTGTGCGCCTGAAAGACAGACACGTGCACCTAGAGAAACTCCCCCTTCAGCACCCTGGACAGAGACACACCGCTGATGACCGCACATCACTTCAGCTCAAGTCAAGTCGCAGGCTGCCGCGCGCACGCTCGGCTCACACATCTCGAGCTTCTCGATCAAACAGCAACTTGATGCATATTCAGAGTTTTCATCCTCGGTTGCTGACTAAAGGAGAGAGGTCCGCAGGCGTCCTTTTTAACAATTTCCTCAAGTCGAGCTTCAGTCACTGTGGAGGGGATAACATCTCCAGGAAGGTCCCGGTTTGAAGAAGCTTGTTTATTCATATGTTATCTAGAATATAAGTCCCCTGCTTTCTTATTTTCTCTTGGATCATCAACAAGATGTTGCTTGAACACCCGGGGTCAAGCTGTCAAAATACTGGGAATTTCTCCCGCTACAGTTCGGGCCAAGGTAGGTTCAAATTTTCTCTTTTTTTCCTTTTTATTTGCTCTTAAAGTTTTCTTTTTTAAACAATATCCAGTGGTGCAATAATGACTTATAATTAGGCGTGAAATAGAGGTTATTGTAGCGAATCAGCACAGCAGGACTCTGCGTCAATTGTGAGCTGTGACAAGCGTGAAATGGAGTTAAAGAGATCTTATGTTAACTGTTAATCTTACTCTGAAAAGGGAGTCAAACCTTGTTGGGTTATTTTAGGGTTCAGGTGCATCTAAATAGTCCGTCTGAGAAAATAAAGATCTCAAGATGCAACAGTTGCAGAAACGCCTCCATTATTCAGCAGCCCATGCTGGTGTCCACAGACTGTTTAGAGGCGCTTCTCCTGCGTTTGTTGCGTGCGGGAGACGTTATGAATGTGTAATGAGCCTTTATTGTTGGAGAATCACTGAACAGATGTTATGCGCGTGCTGTCATTTCACACCGCCGCCCGCAGTTGTAACGGGAGCAGATACGGAGAGAGAGAGAGCAGCACAGTGTGGGTCCCTCTCATTGCGTGTGTGTGTGTGCATGACAGACTGCCAGCAGGCTCTGAGCTTCTCCCACCCGCTGTCCACCGACTCAAAAATGCTCAACAGGTGTCACATTCCTGCCCCCTGACAGGTGGGACACCTGAGGGTGAAGTGGAGACGGTGATGATTGGTTGATCACGCGTGCGTAAAAGTTTGGCCTGATACGGTTTCGTGTTTTTAAGATCACATCTTTGTTTGTTTTTAGGCTTCATGGAGTATCAAATAAAATTCACAACACTCAAAGCAGGCCTTTTTTAAAGACACTAATTGGTGCGTAAAACGGCGAGAAAACGAATCCACTATCTCTAAATTCCTTTGACCCACTGTCCATCTCTCTGATGGTCATTTTATCGCTGTTATCGCATCACTGCCGGGATCAACCCCCTCAAAAGTGAGCGATCAATATGCCATAAAAATCATAACAAAGCTGAAAGGCAAAGGGGCGCCCATGAACCCCACAGCTTTCTCCAAAAAGAAGAAGAAAAAAAAATCTTTCATATACTTGAGGAAATCCACGCAAATAGGACATTGATTTTAGATTCATCAGCGGCGCGCGCGGCTGTGGCACTCCCCGTGATTTCCCCAGGCGCTCTTTTGTGCCAAAGATCAGTGTCAATAAAATTCATTGGGGTGTTGGCCCGATCAACATGTTATTGAACAGCCAATCTCTCCCCTAAATAAACACTTGTCTTTGAGCGCTCAACACACCAGATCAGGACGGTGTTTATGTACACCGCATTAGAAAAAAAAAACCTGTACTGAAAAGAAGACGAGGCCTAAAGCGAGTTTATCAAACTGCGTAAAAGACATTTTTGTTTTTTAGTGTTTTTTTTTTTTACCTTACGGCAGGTATTTCTTAAACTTGGATATTTATTGCATCTATTCTCGAAACTATAGATATTCAGCTATATCAGAAAAAAATGATAGATACCATTACTAGTTTGATTATCAGATATTTAACGCTCTTTATGCTGATGGAAAATACATTTATTTAGGGAAAAAAAAGGTAAAATTGTGGAGTAAGCCATCGGGGCCAATCTTTTCATTACGCATGGGAGCAATGGCATGTAAATTATAGATTAGATTAGATCAGATTGAACTTTATTGTCATTGAACACTGTACAAGTACAGGAACAACGAAATGCAGTTTAGCATCTAACCAGAAGTGCAAGGTCTGTACATATGGGCAGTGCAGGTATGAACTGAATATACTATATAGTGCCATGAATTTGCTAAAAATATATACACGGTGTTGGTTACTGCAGGTATGAATAGGCTATACAACAAAAAATAGAGATCTAATTATGTATATTATCTCTATGTACAGTATACAGATTAGTGCAGGTGTGAAAAAGAGAAGACGGGACAGAGTGGCCTTTGAAAATTCTCGCGAGATAAGTCGATTTACATTATAAATCAACGATATTAGTTGTTGTTTTTTTACTTTGTTTGTTTTGTTTATAAATTATCATATTTTATTTTTTTTAAGAAATACCTTTTTTTTATGAGGCATTTTTGCCTAATTTTAGTGCTTATTAAACCAGCTCCTATTATGGTATTTTTTTAACATTTCATCCAGTAATTTTAACAAAAAAAAACACTGTTTTGCTGTGTTAATAGTAGGTACTGCTTCCTAACTCGAGAGCAATTTTGAACACACAATTGCATCAAACCTCTTTGCCAACTGTTACAGTATGAGCACCTGACCTTTTTTCCAAGTGTTAAAATAAGCTGAAAATAAACTAAAACATTCCTTTCGTTTCGTTCATTGCAAGAAAATCAAATAGAGAAAAGAAACTTGAAAATTAAGTAAATGTATATTAAAGAAAATATCATTTTAGGGGGAAATATCGCGGCACAACCTCAAGCAAATCGACTGATATGGATTTTTGGTGATAATCTGATAGTGTGGCTGGCCTCTGAGTGTAACATTTGGATCATACCAAACTCAAACCCTCTCTCATTGGCCTCCTCCTCCTCTCTCAGCCCTTGTCCATCTTCTTCCGGGTTCGGTCGCCGCTCCGTAGGTGATGTTAATCTATCTCACCGTCGCCCAGGAAACGGCGCAGCGTAATCCCGTCTAGGCTTCAACAGGCAGCACACACCAAACTCCAGCTCCACAGCACACGCGTTTAGAGCTCGTGCTACAGAAAAAAAATTCGACAAAAGCAAAACATAGGTTTACGCTCGTGTTAAAGTGAGGAAGCTAAACCAGGTTTGCATGAATGTGAGCGGACATCATGAGCGATGGATGGACAGGGTGAGCGAAACTCTCCGAAGGAGGCTCCCAAAAACACCGAGATGCTGCTGGCGCTGCTGTCGCACAGTGAGGAGCTAAGGAAAGGTAACCTAAAGCCCTGTAGCTACTTTTGGATGTATTCGTTTGAATATAATTCCACTGCGTAAATTCCTGTTTGTCATAAATTTGACGCTGATTTAACGAGTCTGTGTTTGGCTGTGGGATCATCATTGAAGCTGTGCGATCATTTTAGGAGCTGTGCTGATATATGGATGATTGAAAGTCGTGTGCGCGTGGCACATTTCACAGCTGTTGAACTGGACAACACGTGCTGTTCCTGTCGCTCCACATCTCTGTAATAATGCAACCTTTACGCATCAGGCTTTTACGCATTTGATCCAGTCTGCCTGGATTATTAGTATTATTTTTACGCATCAGGCCTTTACGCATTTGATCCATAGCCTGTTTGGATTATTAGTGTTATTTTTCATTTATTTTTCATAATGCATCATTTAAGCATCAGACTTGGAGCATTTGATCTATAGCCTGTTTGGATTATTAGTATTATTTTTAATTTATTTTTATGAATGCATCTTTTATGCATCAGGCCTTTACGCATTTGATCTAACCTGACTGGATTATTAGTATTATTTTAATTGGAGCATTTTATCTAAAGTCTGTCTGGATTATTGTTAATTGAATATTTCCTGCATCGTTTTGCTAAATAAATCGGTTGTAGCTCGTCTCCTCTTATTCTAAATTGAGATTTTGTTGGAAATGTAGTTTTGTAGTGGCGTTCATGTGTCCACGTTACAGTCACACCTATATACCGTCTATGTTGGAGGCTCGTTTTTAAGGATTCGCAGGCTTTTATATTATATTCACAGTTTTCCAATTGTTGACCACAATGTGCAGCAAACAGCTCGGACACCTCCCCCCGGTTTGTACCGTGAGACTAATAGTCCCCCCCTCAGCTCTCTCTACTTTAGCAGAGCGCGTTGAATAAAAGATGACCTGTATACACCTGTTCCTGACGTGGAGGGGCCCACCACACTTGTGCCGGTGATGCAAGTCGAAAACGTTCATGAAACTTTCATGAATGTCCACAGCAGAACAAAAGGAACGCGAGTCCTTGCACGGATGGAATATGAAGTGGTTGAGCCTCTTTTAATTAGTAATAAAGAGGCCTGATAGCTTCTTACCTGACGTTTGAGTTGTCCTCATTTGTACTTTGGTTTGTCTTTTTGTTGTTATTTTGCATAGATCGTTGTTAATTTGGGGGACATTTTACTTCACATGAGCGTTTAGGATGGGATGTAATGTAGTACAGGCCGTTCATTCAGAATAATAATAAAAACGTTGATTATTGCTTTTTTTTAAATTAGTGGTTGTGTATTAATCCACCTATCATCATACAGGCTCCAATGAATCCCTAAAATGTTGCTTTAGATTAATTCCCTTCAGAAAATTTTAGATTTTTTAGCGTATTTATTTTGTCAGTTTTATCTTTAATTAAGAGCATTGTCGATTTACATCTTGAATTTTTACGATAACTGTTGTTTTAACGTTGCAACCATTTTTTTTTTTACCGTTTTTCCTAGTAATTATTGTAGCCTAATCCACCACCAGGTTCAAGAAAATTACATTAAAACTTTATTTAATATGCTAATATTTTAGGAATTTTAGGGGTTTTTTTTAGGTGTTTGAAGTTCTGCTTTCTGCAGCACAGAAAAAAAAACGAGAAGACACCGAAATATAAAATATTTTTTTATGCAGTAGGCCCATTTGAGTATGGCATTCGGTGACAAGGTGACTCAGTTTAGAGTAGGTGATTATATTTTTTCGGATGCATTAAACCAAGGGCAGGTAAAATCCTAAAACTGAAAATATCCCGATTTAATTTGATGATCATTTAATTGGCCTGAGGTTATAATGAGGGGAGTCTCTGTTATAAATCAGAGATAGTAAAATGAAGAGTCCTCACTCCTTTCTTTTTAAACGTGACACAACTCTCATTTCTTTTCCTAGTATTTTTTTTAATTCTTTTATTTTTACATTTTACATGTTATGTTTATACAGATAATATAATAATATAATACAGATAACATTATTTTGTTGTAGTACAAAAAGCAAAGGAAGGACGTTTTAGTTTTTGTTTAGGCCTACTTATATCGTGTTACATTAAGACTTAAGTGGTTTGCTCTTGAATATAGCCATGAAACAAAATAGAGATGGTAAGTTAAAGATAGCAGTGTTATCTTATGAATAGGGTAGCTTCACACTTTATTTGTTTATCCATTTTAATACTCAAAATGAACGACGCTATTTGGATACAGAAAAAAGAAATAGTAAGATATGGGCCTGAGTGAAACACGTTACTCTGTCTGTCATTTCAGTGCAACAATAATAGTTTCTGTGTGCGTCAGGAGAGGTTTTGGCACATATGCTTTACGCACCATAAGCAGTTTCTATTGTTTGTCGATCTGACCGATCTGCTTCCCTGTGTCTCCAGCAGAAATCCCGGTGTGTGCGGGCTGCAATCAGCACATCGTGGACCGTTTCATCCTCAAAGTGTTGGACCGGCACTGGCACAGCAAATGTCTGAAGTGCAGCGACTGTCAGGCTCAGCTGGCCGAGAAATGCTTCAGCAGAGGAGACAGCGTCTACTGCAAGGACGACTTCTTTAAGTGAGCAGCCTCCACGTGGCATTTGAGAAAATCCGTCTCTAAAATAAGTGGTGTTTCCATAAGACTGAGAGAGTCATTGCGTATTGATGAAACTGTCTTATTCCCCAAAAGGAGATTCGGGACCAAGTGTGCCGCGTGTCAGCAGGGGATCCCGCCCACGCAGGTGGTGAGGAGGGCGCAGGACTTCGTCTATCACCTGCACTGCTTCGCCTGCATCGTGTGTAAAAGGCAGCTGGCCACAGGAGACGAGTATTATCTGATGGAGGACAGCAGGCTGGTGTGTAAAGCAGACTACGAGACCGCCAAACAGAGAGGTGAGAGAGCGACAAGAGAGTCACCAAACATTTTTTGTAGTTGTTTATAAATGGTGGAGTACATTTCAGCTCTTATTTTGTAAAATATGAGGCGTTGTCTTTAGACTTGTTTTTAAGTAGGGGCTTTTATTTTGACGTGACAATGAGGTCACTCGTAAACTCTGACCCACCTTGCGCTAATTGCGTCGTTTCCCGCAAACCAATCGATAACAAAGTGCGTAAAGTGCACGTTCACTCTGCTGCTACATAATACAGCACGTGCAGAGACACAGGGTGAGGGAGGGAAAAAAAGGACTGTGTAGGTCACTATGTACTCATTATTAACCTATATTGAAAACACAGTTATGCTATGTGATGTGTTCTTTACTATTATACCTGCAGGAGCTGTTTGAATATGACACCTTTTTAAAGAAACCACATGTTTATAATGATTTACACTCTAGGTTTTGATTTTAATCATGTATATTATAGGCAGAAAGGGAATCCAAGCTTAAAATGAGGAGACCTTTAAATGTTCCTTATTAATTTGCATTGACAAAACTTACACAGACTGCTGCTTTTCTAATGGAAATACTGCATATTATTTGATTGAATTAATTGTAGGAGAAAATTAAAAATGTCATGGCAGAAATAAACTATTCAAAGATCTAACTTTAGTATCTTAAAAGTACAGACGAGAAGCAATAAGTGTGTGTTATTTTTCAAAGAGGTAGGTTTTAAAACAGTGGTTCTCAACTGGTCTCAGTCTGGGACCCACATTTTCCCATGGTCCTTAAGTTGTGATCCACTTTTATAAAATTCAAACCAAGCAAATTTAGTTTTTGTTTAATAAAAAACCTTTAACGACTCAAATCTTTAACATTATTACATCCATTTTATTGAGTACAGTGCATTTCAGAGCACATGAACTGAGGATGACAACTACTGAAGTTGCATATACAGAAAATATCAAATATCATATTACACAAAATGGAGACCAGCAAAATAAAAAATTTGACTTATATGCTTCTCTGCATTCAGAGCATATTCAGAAGAACCTGAGGAAGAGCATACAACAGCATGGACAAAAGTGAATAAATATCAAATAGCACAAAATAAAGACCTACATTTTTACTGCATTAAGAAACCAAGGAGGACTACAACAAAATAAGCTTTCATTTTTCAAAATAAAAGTCATGTCAAACATCAGATGGGCATTAAATATTTACTTTTTTGACCAGCTGTTCGCGACCCATCCAGAACGTGGCTGCGACCCACTTTTGGGTCAGGACCCACCAGTTGAGAACCACTATTTTAAAACACACTATCAGGAAATAGTAAAAAGCATTTCAAATGTTCTTCCTATTTGATTTACCCGGAAACACTGACATTAGATACCCTCATTATACCGAAAAGATGCACCACATAAACTTCACTGGATCCCCCAGCGAAGATGCTCTGCTCCTGCCAGAGAAGACTGCGGATGGTCGAGTTTTATCTCCCCATCTGTTTGTTTGAATTTACTGCCCCACACCAAGTGTGGATTTATGCAGCAAGTTTTCACTAAAAACACACACGTTTATTTTGCTAATGAGGGGGCGCAATTACTTGGGTGGCATCCATTTGGATGATGGTTTAGTATTTTGCTGTGCTGGCCAACAGATGCGCGCCTGCATGATGCAATTATGCACAGGTTGCCAGAATTTAGTTTATAGGCAGAGGAGAAGTTATCTATTTACGTTAGATTCAAGAGCTGTGTGTTTTATGAGCTCGCTTGTTAGTGCCAGAAAATTTTTATGTTTTAGACCCAAAATGCATACACATAATAATTTACTGTTTTTTTTCTTTACAAGGAGCTCCTTCTCTCTTATGAGATAGATATTTTATGACACTGTAAGTTATTTATGTGTTACATCATTTGACGCAGGGATTGATGGGTAATAATCAAACACTGTTCACTTATTTGAAATGTAAACTGTCTTGATTCTGATTTAAGTTTCTGACTCTTCATATTATTTCTGACCTAAAATATAAAAAAATACTCAAGTTTTTGCTAGAACAGCTGCTGGAGTAATTGTCAAGCACTTGCTGACTTTTTATTATTATTATTTTTTTTTCAGAGGCAGACTCCACTGCTAAAAGGCCGAGAACAACCATCACAGCCAAACAGCTGGAAACGCTAAAGAACGCGTACAATAACTCTCCAAAACCCGCCCGCCACGTCCGAGAACAGCTCTCATCAGAGACGGGCCTGGATATGAGGGTTGTTCAGGTAAAGTACAGTATATTATTATCCATTAAGGGCTATTCCATTAGTGTCCTGACTGCATTATCAAAGGGACAATTGTGGCTGGACTGGCACAAGCCCCCTGTGGGAAGAAGCGAGTGTGTGTGTGTGTAGGTTGGGGTGGAATTTACGGCTAGAAGGAGTAAAATGAAGTCCACATGAAAGTCAGCACAGTTTAAGTGCGAGCTCGTTAACAATGCTAAGAGGGGCCCCTCACATATTGTCTGCTGCTGAGGAGGAGCCGCACGCCGGTCGCTGAGGGTGCTGGGTGCTGCTGGTCATATATATTGTTTTATTTGCAAGGACAAAGTAGAGACGGAAGCCACTAAAATGCTGCTCATTATTCAGAGAAAGGGACGGGGTGAAGAGGGTTCACTAAGGGCGGAATATCATTAAGGAGAATGTAAAACTGCTGCTTGTGCTCGAAGGGAATGAATTAATATTGAGGGTATGATGGAATTAATGAAAAACAGGACGTTCATTTTTCTGCATTTGAAAGCAGGGAGGTTACAAACTATTTATGTTTACAGCTTTCTATTGTGTTTGCGTTTTCTTGAGTGCAAACATAAATTCATAGATCAGATCCAAAAAAAAGTAGAGGAGAAAATATGAATAATTTAGAGCTGAAGCTACGTGAACCAGTCTGCTCCCGAGGTGAGGACTACTTGTAGCTGTCAGGAAGTTAATAAAAATGTGAGATAAATCAGGTGCAAAAGGACGCTGGACCCAAGATTACAGGTCAGTGTCAGTGTTTGAGTGTCTTACTTTGAGTAAGCCGTGTCCAGACAGTCCTTGAGAATTAATTTAGTTTTAATCCTTAAAAGCGTAATATGTGCAGAAAGGGGATGAAGTGGACTTTGAGTGGAGTGTATGATGACTTTAAAACATCATGAGCAACTTGTAAAGTTTTAGTCCTCAAGATCAAAAGGATAACATAGATTAGACGTGTAAATTGAATTGGTTTAGATTAGAAAGTATTTGACTGTTTTCAACAAATCAAGATATGAAAGACTGATTTTTCTTGTGGTAGATTTCAAACATTGTGCAAAATATCTGACATGTCGTCTTTCAATCCTTCAGGTTTGGTTCCAGAACAGGCGAGCCAAAGAGAAAAGGCTAAAGAAAGACGCCGGGCGACAGAGGTGGGGGCAGTACTTCCGCAACATGAAGAGATCACGAGGAAGCTCCAAATCTGACAAGGACAGCATCCAGGAAGAGGGCATGGACAGTGATGCCGAAGTGTCCTTTACAGGTAAAAGGCCAGCACACGACATGAAGACAGTATACGCATGAACAATGGCTCGTTTCTATTCGTGTGTCGCAGACACAGCACTGTGAACCAGCATGCACAGTACCAGGGTATGAAACAGAAACAGAAAAATGGGAGGCGGTCAGAAGTACCTTCACTGATTACTCTAAAAGGACTAAAAATATGAACAAATAAAGATATGTGTTGTGTTGTGTGTCATAAACAGGAATTACGTAATAATTTTACAACAGCTCAGGTTTTTTTTAAAGAAAAGCCAGTAGTGTTGAATGGTGCTAAAGAACTGAAATCCATCAACTGTTGACGAAATGTTCACATATCATTTATCAGTGTAAAAACAGGGGGTAGTACTGACTTGTTCCATATTTATGTATATCATTTGGGGAATAAACTTAAAAAGAGTAGAAATCGCATAGACCAGAGAAAACAAATTCTATCTCCTTATGCAAAGAAAAACTGAGCATTTTTACAAATCCCCTTTAAAATATTCTAGTCTCAATTTCTTATTTTCCACCTGTACTTGATTCACACTTACAACTTCTCTTAAGGAAATTCCAAGTATTTTTATTAGATGGAGAGTGGTATGTAAGAAAAATGGAGGAGTTAGTGTAATGACTTTGTTGAAAATTACAGGTTAACAGGGGCGGATCTGAGGGTAAGTCAGGGGTGTCCATGGCCCACCAGAATTTTTAATTATAGTAGCTTGCATCAATATTACAGGTGGAAATAGAAAACGTAAATAAATGCTCATTGATTTTCATTTATGTAAATGAGTCAGTGGCCGACCCCTGTCAAAATAAAATCTGAGTCCACCCCTGCGGTCGAGTCGGACCAACAAAGATCATATTTTGTCTTCCCATCCTAGGTTGGGTCTTGAGTGTGGTCTTGACCTGCTCTTTTTGGAAAGCGTCCTGGGATGACGACTGTTGTGAATTGGCGCTATATAAATAAAATTTGATTGATTGATGGTCTTCTCTGTCCTCGTTGCACAGATGAACCACCCATGTCCGAGCTCGGCCTCTCAAACGGCATCTACAACAGCCTGAGCGAGTCCTCGCCAGCCATGGGCGGCCGCCAAGGGGGCAATAACCATGGCTCCTTCCCCCTGGAGCATGGCGTGCTACCGTCCCAGGATCAGTTCCATGACATCCGATCCAACAGCCCCTATGGCATCCCTCAGTCTCCTGGGTCCCTGCAGGCGCTTCCCAGACACCAGCCTCTCATCTCCAGCCTGGTATACCCCGAATCGGGCCTGTCAATCATGACCCAGGGTGGCGGACCCGGGATCAACCCTGCTGTGAGAGTCTCCATGGGGGCAGCTAACGGCCCCAGCTCTGACCTGTCCACTGGCAGTAGCGGAGGGTACCCAGACTTTCCTGCCAGTCCTGCATCCTGGTTAGATGAAGTCGACCACGGGCAATTTTAACCAGTCGACGAAAAGAAGTTGGACTTTTTTTCCTTTTTTGTGTCTTCTTTTGGATTTTAGGACTTGAGAAACAGTCAAACGGGACAGCTAAGGTGTAATGGACTAGGCATACCTTGAATCCCACCAATATCTGATAAACAGGTTCATTATTTATGAGGTCTGGATGGAGGCTAAGTCCATCGCTTAAAGCACTTGGCCTAATAATTGTCCTTCTTTAGAAAGCTGTATTCAAAGCAAGAAACCTGTCAAAAATATTACTTTTAAAAAGCGCTTTCAGGACATTTTAGAGACTGACAGACTCAAAGTTTGGAAGTTTATGTTTTTGGACTTTCACTAACACACTCCCTGTTTCTTCATTGGCTTTTTTTTTTTCTACACTGTGTTCAGGAGCAGAGAAACGTTCTCAAAATGTCTGGTGGTTGCCAAATGTCTATATATAAATATAAATATAATGGTTTATCATTGTGGAGACTTTATTTTTATACAACGCCTTTCTTGGACACAAAGGAGAAACCCAGATACGAGGACTTTGTACATTCTTAAACAGGGATATAGACATAAATGTAGATGTTGTCTTAAATGGTACCTAGGGGTCCAATTACTTCTATGCATTTGTGTGTTTCTCAGATGTATCTTGTTCGTTTTGTTCTGCCTAAAAAACAACCCCAGAGGAAAAATAAGCTGTAGAGTTTGGGGTGTGGTGTATATGTTTGTTTATGTGGGAAATGTTTTATGTCTTATTTATTCCTTCTGGTAATGATGATGATTCCTGATTAAATGACAGGACTTTAATAAATTTGTCACCTAAGTCAAGATGGGAGTTGATTGCTTTTTAGTTGGACTACAAAATTTTACCCCTCAGGTTAAAGAAACAACAAGATGTCTGTATATCTATGATTTTTTTTAACCCTTAGAACTCCCGGCTATATTTTGCTATTTTTGGTCCGCCTGTTGTCAAACTCGGAAGACATTAGCGGCACTTAGCGATCTTTTTTTATCACGACAATATGTTAAGTAATCATGTTTTCACCAGTATATCACTGCGGATTTACCATCAAACGTCTCTGATCAAACACCTATTTTTGTGGCTGGATTGTAAACCTTGTGGCAGGTGTAGAAATGCCTGGAAGCCCTCGATAGATCGCCAAAGGGGTAAACTTTTGAACACTTTTTATCCCATAGAGATACACGGTATAGTTCCCTAGAAACTGTAAACAATATTAATGGTGTCACGTGGGAGTTCTAAGTGTTTAATTGGTTTAGCATCCAATGGAGAGGACACGCCAAGGTCATACTCTTTCCTTAGAGCGACCAAACATCAATGTCACAATTACAAAGCATTATTCAGCGAAACCTAAATTTTTGAACAGGTAGAAAACTCATGCAGAACTAGACTGATTAGTGGACAACCATCTGTCGGTGGAGGAAGTGAGATAGAGGGACAGAGATGATCAGACAGCTGGGGAAAGGGCAACCACTAAGAGAGACATATAAGGGAAGAGTAATTGAGGAAATCTGTCGAATATTAACAACAATGATAATGATAACATAAGTATGAAAAAAGTGAAATTGAAGCAGGTTACAATCCACTGAAATCTGAAAGACAAAGGAAGCATGATGGGAAAGCTTAAAAATGAGTAACTTCCAGACTTCAAGATTGCTTTCCCTTTGATTTTGCAATGAAGACGTTGTCATGCTGTGGTCCAATACATCCTCTGTTCATGTGATTTAAGTATTCAAGGTCTCAGTTTCACGGTAGACATACAGATTATTGACTTGAGTTTACGTCAGCAGTATGTACCAAGAAAAAAGACAGATTTTCCAGCTGTTCACTTGTCATTTACAGGTCTTGAGTTGGCTGAAAAAATACCAGGATAAAGATAAAAACTTTGTCGTACAGAGGAGGATAAAATAACTTTTAACATTTTGATAGAGCGGAGGTCAGATTGATTATTCCCAATGCCCCCCAGGAAAGCTAACCATGAATCGGCTTTCGCAGCATTAAAAGATTTGTGCATATAATTGAAAAATTTGATTTGTTAGTCTGGTAGCTGCACTTGGATGGAGATATCTGTTGATAAGGATAAATACTAACTTGATAGGGTCGTGGAGACTGTATATCACTGGGATTCTACCTGTTTCTCCCACCACATGGACTATTTTATTTGATTACGCCAAAGCTGAAATCTGATTGGTCAATTCTACTTGGTCAACACCTGTACTACAAACGAAATCTAGAAAACCCACCATGTAGATTCTTTATGTTTTCCGTAGAATATGTAAATAAATGTTACAAAATTACGAAGAGGAGCTCTGTGTGTCAAGACTTCAGGGAGTCTAAGCCTAGAGCAGCATAACTAGAGCCCGAGTATAGGCTGTGATTTGCATGAGAATCATTTGTAGAGTATACACCTCCCTAACCCAAACTGATACATGATTCTTGAAAAAAAGTACCTGAAAAATTAAAGACTCAGTCTCCTGTACTACTCTTGGAAACTTGGCTTTATCACAAGATGGCCTGTATTCACAGACACAATTTTCTGGAGGGGTAATAAGCACTTTTCGATGTGATGGCGAGGACTTTGTCTGAAAACTAGTTATTTTTAAAGATTTAGGAGAGTATTTTAGCATTTCAAATTTTCGTATCCTCTGCGCGGTGTTGAACATACTGTACATTTACCTTCCTTATCTTTAGCATATGACAGCACTGATAATGAAACCTGAGTAAGCCTATAGTCTGCAAATTGAGTCTCTGGCTAACTACCAACACATCAGGGGTTCAACAGCTCTTTAGTGGAGAAATTTGATGCAGACAGAGAGTCAACTCATCAATTCAGAGATTACTGGCTCTTGTTTGCCCAAATGCTCCGATGGGAAAGGAATCTCCAATCCATTAGCCGAGAAGGGATCAAGTGCCCCTTGTGAATTTCCTCATTTGTTTAGTTATTCAAAGTCAGGTTCAATTAAGTAGATTAAAGCGTATATGTGTCGGTGGGCGCGTGCATGAAAGTGTATGTGTGTGTGCAGTGGGGTGTTTATGTATTTGCCTCAATGGGTTGGGATGTGTGGGTGTGAATACACTTGCATGGTTTGTATACGACCATCAACTGATATATTAACTTTTTTCTGTTATCTCTTTCACATTCAAACTTTATTTATGTTTTCTCAGAAGCAGTTTAATTTTAAGCCATTTTACCGCTGAATAAGACTGCTTAAATTATCTGCTTCAGGTAAACCTGAATCCTCAGACTTTTGTAGGATATCACATAATTATTTATACATAAATATTTGGCATACTGTACTGCAGTTCAGCTTACTTGGAGGAAACTATTTTTCACTGAAATGAAACAGTCCCTGGATAAGAAGACCTTTTAATTTGGAATATTCCTCCTTTCGCTGATTATCACCTACATATGCCAAGATGCTGCCTGTTAAGACAATATAGCAGGGTATTCTTTGTTTTGGGTATTCTTAAATAATATTTTAATGTTAGTCGAGTTTCTTTGTAAACCCTGAGATTGTTGATAACTCATCCTGGACCTTCAGCAGTGAAGTAAACACTAATATGTGAGCTAGCTAGCGTGCGTCAGCCCTGTGTTTGTGTAGATTCTGTCACTTTGCTCCATTACTAACAAAAAAACTGAAACATAATTTCCTTCCAAGCCTGTTTTTAAATCATACATTACCAAAGACGAATTGAGCATTTAACAGCATGCTAGCTGCTATTAGAATGCTAGTGTTGGCCAGAGCGTTAGCTGATTCTTAGGGACTGTAAAACTTAAAGCTTTTGGTTTGTACCAGCTTTGGCGCCCCCTGTGGACAGAGCAGGTTTTTCTTATCTTGTCCTTTTCATACCTAAGTAGGGTCTCCTGGCAAAAACCTCATCCTACTGACATTTGACGGTTAAATTTAGCATTTATTGTGAATATATGTAAAAAAAATTATAATATTACCAAAAATAATTTAAAAATAATTCAATTTACAGTACTGATAGAATTTTCTTTAATTACTCACTCACTAACTACAATGGCCAGTATGGTTTTACTACTGCACACTTGGTTTACTACTGAGGGTGTTGAAATGTTCTCTTATTAATACCACAGAAGCCTGAAGTTGACTCATTCATTCACTTTATTTACCCAGTATCCTCGTTATAATGAGTAATTTATGGTTGTTGTCTCGAAATCTCATGACAATAACATTGTTTTTCCCATTTTTCCAGATTTATTTATGTCGTTATCTTAATATAGTACAACTTTCTGGCAATCTAGAGGGGAAAAAAAACAGAACAATGGGCTGGTGCATGTGATAGGTCAGACCATGCACGCCATGCTGCCATCGCCCTCAGTAATGTGGCAAGGTAAGTGTATTTCCATCTCTATGCCAGTGGTTTCTACAGTGAGAGAGAGTGAGGACCCCCCTAGAAACAAGTTTTGTTCATTTGTGTAAATAGACCTATAAGGTGCAACATACAGGCAATGAACAGCCGGCTGTCAGCCAACCTTTTCTGTCCGAGCTCCGGACCTCCGTTCGTGGCCACCTACTCTGCTTTGCTGCTCAAGTTCCCAGAACAAGAAAAGGAACACCAGACAGGAAATTCGGCTCGATCCTTCCAGCTGAGTGGCAGGTATCACTGTTGCCCCACAAAAGTGACAGGTGTGTAACCTGAGCCACAGAGTGTTTGGCAAAGACAGAACGGTGAGAGTGAAGTGTGAAAGGGTGTTAATCTCCTATAGATAACCTGTCTTTGTCCGTTTACCGGGCGGTTTGTATTTGGGGTTAGACACCTTAGTTTAACGCAAAACAAACAAAAAGCACTTGTCTGTCTCTTATTTACACTCCATACACCTGCGTTTCTTTGGAAGGACTTTAAGTCTAAGTTTTTCTGCTATTCAGTCCTTTTTATGAGCCTCTGAATTAACATAAGTTTTAAAGATAGATGCACAGCTGGTGAACCACTGCCGACTCACCAACTAGCTAGAAAAACCCTACGCTAGAAACCAAAGTAAATCTCTCCAGAGTTTTTTCTCGTTACCCGTGTTTCCCTTACGTTACATCACTCTAACTCACCTTGGTCTTTTTTCTGCCTTGTGTATTCTCATTCAAGTGTAAACCAGGGTGATTGGGAACCTGTCCAAGCTAGCTACAATAACTATATTTGCTAACACAAGCAATGGGAGATAGCAAAGTTTATTCAAGATGTTATGAACTGATGTGAGAAGTTTTAGATCAGGTATTATTATTATTAGTATTAGTATAGATTAGGTATTAATGTCATTCACTTGGTTATCAAAATAAATACTTGGGCCTATTTGGAAACTTTATAGATCCAATCAGCTGATGTGACTTTTCCTAAATGCTCGTGAAGTTTTGTGAGTTTTCTCATGGATGTTCACACCTACCTCAGCCTGTTAAATCTTTGTCACTCAGCAGGTGTGAGATTTAAGTGACCATGGGATGAATTCCTCTAAGCAAACCGTGTGGATTATCCCACCCCACTCTCTCCGATTGAGTTAAAATCCAGCATTTTATGTGGGAAGAATTAGATTAAGTTTGGTATGCAATTTGTTGGATGGGTTGTATGAGTGTGTTGTGTTTTGACTGTTGCCGGTCTTTTCCCTCAAGACTAAAATATTTCCACACAGCTGATTAATTTCTACATAGTTTAATCGTCTCAATCTTGGCCTCTTGCTGCATTCTTGTTTGAAACTCTAAGTTTAGGCGCAGCAGGACAGAAAGTGTCGATTTTAAAATACAAGCATGGC